AAATAATTTTATAATAAAATAACAAATTATGTAATATTTTTGTCTACAGAAGGACTTTTTTAATATTAAAAATTAAAATTCAAAAATAAATTTAATATTTTTTAAAGTTAATAAATAATTGTACTATAAATCTAAAAGCTGATGGACCAAAATGATATTTTATCCCAAAAATAATTCCCAGCGCCATTACTATTACTAAAAAAAAAAAAAAAAAAAACTGCCCTGACCGTCTCCCTCACTTCCTCTACAAATGCCATGCCCCACGTTTCTCCATTATTCTTTCCTTTCTCTTTTTGTTTTCGAAAATCAAACCCTATATTCACAGCGACGGAACCATCTGATCCGAGACGAAGTCATGAAAAAATCGGATAAACTTCCTCCGGCGCGGCAGGTAGTCGTTCGATCTGTGTGGTCCGGGAATTTGGAGTCGGAATTCCTCCTGATCCGATCGTTGATACACTTGTTCCCGATCATTTCTATGGATACGGAGTTTCCTGGGGTTGTTGTCCGGCCGTCGAAGGATGATCCGAATTTCCGGCAGCGTGACCCTATGGCGCACTATTCCAGCCTCAAAGCCAATGTGGATATGTTGAATCTGATCCAGATAGGGATTACTCTGTCTGACGATGAGGGGAACTTGCCGGATCTTGGGACTGATCAAGCGTATATTTGGGAGTTTAACTTTAGGGATTTCGACGTGGCTCGTGACACCTATGCGTCGGATTCTGTGGAGCTTTTGCGTCGGCAAGGTATTGATTTTGAGAGAAATCGAGAGCAGGGGATTGATTCGTATCAGTTCGCGCAGCTTATGATGTCGTCAGGGCTGGTCTTAAACGATGATGTGACGTGGGTGACGTTCCACAGTGCGTATGACTTTGGGTATATCGTGAAATGCTTGACCGGGCGCTTGTTGCCGGAGAAATTGAGCGAGTTCCTGAGACTGGTGCGGGTGTTTTTTGGGGACCAGGTGTATGATGTGAAGCATATGATGAGGTTTTGCGCGAGCTTGTATGGAGGGCTAGACCGCGTTTGCAAGTCCCTGTGTGTAGAGCGGTTGACTGGGAAGAGCCATCAGGCTGGGTCAGACAGCTTGCTGACCCTGCATGCTTGGCAGAAGATCAGGGAGGTCCACTTTGGCGATAACAACGCGCATGAGAAGTACGCCAATGTTTTGTATGGTTTAGAGGTTTTCAGTTGAATATGATTGTTAAATTTGCTTTGATGTTTAAAAGTTCATTTAATTTGTAGATTTCAGCTTTGGATTTAGAGTGTACACTTTTGGGTTTATCAATCAATATTAGAAGCAGTACATCTTCAATTCTTTTCCATATATCTTGTGTATTGAAGTTTTGCTCTTATATATATATATATTGCGTTTAGACACTCAATCAAATGGTAACAACTTAACAAGTGGCTGGTAATATTTTTGGAGTCCTTTGTAATAGTCATGGATCATGCAAAAAGCTGAGAGCTGCATTAGGAGGCTAGTGGTGGAATCTGTTTCTTTTAACTGAGGGCTTTACCAGTTTAGGGGAAGGATCAGATGGAAATTCTTGGCTGCCATGAAAATGGAAGAAGAGGAGACATGGAGGCCAGAGAGAAAAAGGGTGAATTTTCCTTCTTTTAGAACTTCCTGTTTTACCTAATAGAATCCTGGAAGGCACACGGTATCTTTATCTGTAAATTGCTGGCTAATAAGTTGAAAGCTAAATTTGTATTTTTGTTTTAGAATATGAGATAGAGAGAGAACCAGAAAGGATTAAAATGAGTTGTTTAGACCTCAGAGAACATCATATACTTTTCCATGATGTGTAAAATTTATTTTATCGTGTTTATACCTTCTTCTTCAAATGAAGTTTTACAGGTTCATCTGGGCAGCATGGCATATTTGCTAAGGCTATGCAATGCTGCTATTGTTGGTAGCACTGTTGCAGCAGTGCATTGGTTATATTTCATGTTGGTGGAAACTGCAAATGGTTGGTGATCATGGATCATGTTGTTTCTTCGAGTTTTTTTGATGGATGGGGCATGCTGTTTATCTGGTTTAAATTCTTGATGGATAATTGATCAGAGTGGTAAGAGTTAAAAGTGTCTGCCTGATAGGTATTTTAAATTCTACCTGCGATATTCTTTCTGTGCTTTTAGTTCTTGGGCTCTAGAATCTGAATCTATTACTAGGCTGTGGATTGCATATCCTTGTTGCACCAACCGACCCTCTTAAGTCTGTAGCTTCTAAACTATGGTGGCAAGATTAATTTCCAATTAAAGGTCTCAGACTGAAATGTTACGTGCAAGGTAAGAAGCACCTTCATGCTTAATATCAGTGAACTACCTTAATTCAAATTCAGAATGTTTTTCTCTAGCTCCATCAAGAAAAGATGTTTTCCTCTATTGCAGCCAAACCCTTGTTTAGATTGCCTCTTGGATGTGAAGCAGTAAGTTCCTTCAATCTGTTTAATGACCTTCAATGCATATTTATATTTAAATTTTTTTCACCTGCAATCTAACTATAGGGATGCCTTTCCTTACATTTTTGTTTGCATCTCTTTCATGCTCTATTGGAAAGATACTCCTCTCTTTACTTCTTGTAGTGGCTTTGAGCAATATCTTGATATTGATTTTTTGAATTTGCTTAATGCCTTTCATGCACTGCACGTGGGTTCTGGGAATAATAAGGGATAACATTAGCAAGAGCAGATGATAAATAAATTATTTCTATTCCATCACTAATATTTGCATCAGGATTTTCTTGCAATAGTATAACTGTCAGCTGGAGTTAGAGTTGGTTTTTACCGATCTATTGTTTGCTTTTTTTTTCTGTGCCATTGAAGGAATGCCATTTTCATTTGCCATCTGAGGCTTCATTGAGTTATTTCCTAACAGAGCTACAGATGCTCAACACTTTGATTTGCTGAAGTTACTATAATTATCAGGTAAAGACAGGCATCTCATGACAATTACATTAAGAGAATCGGCTGATATTTGATTGGTGATGTTAGCTCTTTTTCTTAAGCAGTTGTCGTCAAATAAGTTTCAATGCTAACAGCTTTTTTAAGTAGTTGCATTTGACTTCACTCCCCTTAACAGCAGTATACCTTGCAATTGTATTATAAATCTGGTCAGTGGCCACTTTTCTTGTGAAAACTCATTACCTTCTCTGTAGTACTTGTAACAGAGCAAGGTAGAAGAGGGGTTAAAATGTCAATAATGTTAATAATAATGCTGGAAATCTTTCTTTTCTCAATCCACTAGGGTTAGCCAAGTGGTAAGGAGTGACGTAAACCATTGTGGATATGGAGATTTAAATCTTCCAACACCATTCAGTAAAAGATATTTCCAACTGGCCAGGCCGGCCACCCTTGGGTGGAGTCTTGTCAAGTGCTTGTGGATGGGTTGGTTTGCATACAATATTTACAGAAGTAAATGATTAATTTCCAATTTGTGGTTATTTAAGAACGATATTGTGATATCATTTGTGCTTGTGCATGACACATTAGTTTGCATGATACCTAAGAATGGCAATTGTGCAAGCCCGAAAGAAGAGAATAAAGAAAATGGGGTAAGGGAGAGGAAAGAAAGAGTTGCTGCCTGTGGTTTTATTTCTCCTTTCTCCTTTCTACCTTTTTTTTTTTATCCTGTTCTCTTCGATGATAATTATTCATTCATTTTTCATCTTCATATGTGGCTAAAAGTTTGACATAGATATTGCCTGTTGTATTGTTGTTGCCTTGTCAGTTTAAATAATATAGCAGCAACTATTTGATCCTGAAAGTGACAGATTACCAATTCGGCAACATTGAACAAAAAATTGATAGCTTAATCTTATAACAAGCTAAACACAATTTTATTTTCTGGTCATGCAAACATCATATGAAGGTTTAGGTATTATTTCTCGTTGTTATTATTTGCTCCTGTAGGCTAATTAGTAATGATCCACATGGATGTGGAATCCCTTCGATGCCAGATACGTGTAAATAACTGAAGCTCCACCTCAATCTCATGTAAGTGTTTTGTTTATCTATCTAAATGAAGTATAGTCGATATGTGAAAGAACAATTTATATTAAAATGAACCTAAATGTATTAAGATGTTACTTACTGGAATCAATAACTGCGAAAGTTGGAAAAATGAATGCCCCAATTAGTATGCACAAATTAGTTGTCTTGTTGGTTCATAGAAAAGTAATGACTTTGTGAAATGCACAGCTAAGATTGATACACACACTACTTTCGGTCAGAAGGAAAATAATAGGTAGAAGTTTTGAAAACAACTTTCCGTTTCTGATGGATGAAGTTGCTCACCGGAAGGGAATGGAGTATTCTTTTCTATCTCTGAGTATTTTGTTTCTATTATATTCATTTTTTAGTCTATGTTACCTAAAATTTCTAGGAAACCATTTTCTGAACACCAAATGAAGCAAACCACGCCTTTGTCTGAGTGAATTCCCCAGTGGTAAAGGACGAGGAAGTGGTGACTAAGATTCTTGTTTCATGTTTTACCCGTAAAAATCTGAATGACTCCAGCTAGTTCAATCATTAATATTATGACAGCTTGTCTTCCCCATTTACTCATTCTAGGCACATGTTTTGTGCTGTTCTTAGCATCCATTTTTTTAGTACATCTCTAAAGGATCAAACTTAAAATCTCTAAATTGAAGTCTCTCCCTTTTAACTAGATTAGCCACCCCTTAGGGCGTTCTTGGCATTTTTGTTGATTCAATTCATGTGTGATTTGTGGGGACATTTGGTTACCAAGGATGGTTATGGTATCAATACTATTAGACGTTTAGTGTTGGTAAATTTGAGCATGATATAATTTTCATTAAAAAAAAAAAAAAAATTATGGCTTCTCATGCATTTGGTCTTGTTTGATTCATTTGAACAAAAGCCTATAGATTTCCAAAAGAATTAAAGAGAAAATAACATGTATGTTCATTCTCGTTGCGTTTGGAGGTGTTGTGAGTTCTGACTTCTCTATAAACATTTGTCTTGCCTTAGCTTTGCACCCATATTTGATGCCCTGGAATTGAATCAGGACAGGAGGAACAGATAAAATAAGATATCTTGAAGCAGTTTATTGCTCCAAACGTTTAAAGCTAGTGAGGGATTCTCACCATGATTAACTGCCTCTACCATGAAATCAAATTCGCCATGTGAGGATTCTGCACTAGTTATTTGTGCATGTTTGACTGGTCTGCTTTCGTAGTACGACTCGCGCACATGGCTGAACGGTCTTGTTATTAAATTTATTTGTTATGTCAATTGTATAAACTGTATATAAGCAGCATAACTAGAAATGGTGGTACCGTGGTAGTATCTTTCATTCTAGGCCAACTTTGATTGGTACCCTAATATTACTACATATGGTCCAATTTGCTCACCTACGGCTGGCAGCGGTCGCGCATTAATAATCTATTAAGTCCTCGATGATTACTTTTGATATTGATAATAATTCTTTGTAACTTCGCAGATGGGACAAGAGCTGAGATGAGGCCATGGAGGAATGGCTAAGACCTCACAGTACAATTATTTGGTACCAATAGGCAATACAACAAAGGTTAGAAACTTCAATTTAGGATGTCCCTTAGGAATCTGTTGTATTGGACCTGCTGTACCTGCCATGTGCTTGGATTTTTATTTTGCTGAATATATGACTATGATACATTTATCCTCTCCGTCTACACCCTCCGTCATACAACTTTACTTTTTGTTATTTGATCTATTATCTCCAAACACCGTTTCTTACTCTTCCTGCTTTCCTTCCCCCCCTATCTCTGCTTTCCTCTTGCTCTCCCTGCTTTCCTTTCTCCCTTTTGTTGTTTTGATTGACCTAGGTTTGAAATGTTGGAGGAAAGTTTCCAATTTTCTTATCAACCAAACAACATACTATATTATCAAATTTGTAAAAATTCTAACAAATTCATTATCTTCTTCTCCTTTTTTTTTTTTCTCTCTCTCCATCTGAAGAACCGAGATCGAGAACCTGGTCTGGGTTCTCCATCTAGGTTCTGTTGGAGAACCCAAATTTGGGTTTCTTTAGGAGAACTCGATCTGGAGAAACCCAGATCTAGGTTCTCCTTGAGAACCGATCTGGGTTCTCTTAGAGAACTCCAGGAGCACCCAGATTGAGGTTCTCCTTAAGAACCCGATCTGGGTTTTCCTCAAGAACCCGATCTGGGTTTTCCTCAAGAACCCGATCTGGGTTTTCCTCAAGAACCCGATCTGGGTTTTCCTCAACAGATCAAGGAGGGAGGAAGAGAAGGAAGAAGAGGGGAGGAGAGGGAAAGAAGAACAAAAAGAAAGGAGGAAG